TTGAATCTAGAGAGAAGTATCAAGGTGGAAAACGTTCTCAAGGGCCTCTACCATTGACGGAAACTTGGTTGTCCGCCAACCATTCATGTAATTGAAACCTTTCTGGCTTACAGGCTCTAAATCATCGAAAGCTTCTTATTCCTTCCATATTAAGGAAGCATGCACGTGCCGCATAATCCCCAATAGGACTAGTGGACCTCTTAGAATGACTTGAAAGCTCTGGCACTACTTGATTTGTGAAAGGACCTCTTGAACAAGGAGAGGAAGAATTATGAGAATTGGAAGATGTAGCACTATGAGAATGGTGGATGGAAGGGACTATACTTCATCAGTATGCTCTATGCCTTGTATATTAGAAGATGCATGCCCTAGTGCTTCATCGTTAGGAAGAGAAAAGTCGTTGATGTTATCTCCCAGTACATCCACTATATTCTCTATGACATCTTTGTTGGTAATGTCATTATATGGTATCTCTGGGAATGGCTCCAAGTGATGATCCTCTAGCATAGGTGGGAAGGTTGCAAGATAGAAAGGCTACATTAGTGAAAAAACTAAGGAAACAAAAACAAGATTAAAATACAAACTATAGATCTTACCAGTAGCAATGGTATGAGGTGACAGATCTAAGGGAGGAGCTAAAATTAAAGAAGGCGGACTAATCACTAATGATTGATTAGTTTCTGCATCAATAGCTACTTCAGTCTTTTTGTCACAGGTCGCTGGTCGAGGAGGATATTCTCTACTTCCTAGATTCTAAGAAACATCAACATTTGTGACTATATGTTGTTGGGATGTTCTTAAAGTTGGTACCAACCTTTTGTCACAGGTCCTCACGACAATGGCCTCTAACGCTTTTCTTGCACCTTGCATCCACCAATTCAAATAACTAAGGTTGCACTAGCAATCAATATGCCCAATAAGCCATAGAATATAAAATGTAGCATCGGTATTCACTTGTGTAAGGGATAAACACAAGTTATAGAGCTAGTGGGGACCGACCTTATAAAATAAGTGTTTTCGAGACACTAGAAGTCTTTGATGAAAACCTTGCTGACAAGCAAACCTATGTGGGATATGCATTTCTAAGCAACATTGAGACCCTTGATGCAACATTACAAAACTAGGACGAATGCTGGTCATAAATTCTCTAGACTCTATGGAGTGAGAATTATCATCAAAATGATTTTTAGGATTTTGAAAATTATATTGCAATTTTCTCAGTCTCCAACTAAAGTCATTCATTAACATGGCTCCACGAAGGAGGTCTCGAGCTGACTTGGCTCTGCCTCATAGAAGAAGTAGGCATTCAAGAGCCCTATGAACATCTCAATAAGAAGTCACCTATAAGTTGACAGAACATCAATTAATACACCTCTAACAAAGTATAATCCAACCCAAGCGTACAAGTAATTTACAATAAATGCAAACGTCAACACCCCAAGGAAGTTAGATGACTGCTTTACTTGCGCATATGTGTTAGAAAGACCCTGATAATTGCTTGCTAGCATAGGAGGAACCAAGCTATATGTGATGCCATGAGCCATTCGTGATGCGACCTTGAATTTTCTAGGACAAAGGAATATTGATATCACTTGATCCCTAGGAAATCCTAACTTGACAAATGGATTTTCTTTGCACCTCTTAGAACAGGCATGCTTTTTTCTCATTTGCAAAGGCCTATTAATTTTCCTAATTGCATAATGTTCCTTGACCTTATTGTTGAAATTATATCCAAACTTGGTGTCTTTGTAATCCTAGAGAAAGTGAGGATTCATAATACTTTCATTTGTTGTATAATAGAACTTAAGCCAATTTGCATGAGTAACTGGGTCAGATCMTTTTTTGAAGGCAAGATGAGCATAGGCTTTGAACAAATACTAGAATGAACGAGGCAAACCATCTGGAGTAGAAGACATTAGCTCCTCTAAGCTCGGAATCACTTCCTCATAATATTCTCTACCAATGGAAAGGCCTGAGATCTGTTAGATATCCCAAAGAGATATTCAATTTCACCTCAACTGGTCACAAAAGTGTTCGTTTCAGGGCACCAAACTTCACATAGGGCTCTATAAATGTTGTCAGGCCAACTATACACACAAATAACTGCATGGACCGCTCGACTTAATTCTTTCATGATCCCTATGTCTCGAAGACAGTTGAATACTTCATGACCCCAATCCCAAAATCCACTAAGATATTGAATCTCCCCTCTTGGGCTTAGATTAAAACCCCATTTCATGGACCCTTGTTGTATCCTCTCTACAATATGGAGAAATGGATGGTTATTTGTAAGGGTATGGTGGAAGAGATGTTTTAAGCATGGCTGCCTAAGCATAGTAATATGATCCCCTTGGTGCATTTTATGGCTCTCGGATACCAAGTAATCTCTATCAACCTTGAAAGTGGTCCTGGTTCAACTCCACTTCGACCATAAGGACCTATCATCGGCTCATCAACGGCAACTCCACTTCTCGACCCATGAAGAAGTGGAGATATTTGCGACACTCTTTGGCGACACTCTTTGGCGATGAAACTCTATCAAGAAGCAAATTATTATGATTAATGTCGGTGTATTTTTTTATTGAACAAAAAAAACCTAAAATGTGATAAAGTCTCCTTCTATTTCAATGGGTTTTCATATTTTCACTGCTTAGTTATTGATATTTATAATTTCAGGTATTAATTATTAATATTTATTATTTATTTCAATTTTTCGTTAATTAGTTATTAATTTTTAAAATTACTGAAATTGTAAAAAATAAATTAATTTTGACTGAAATTAATTTCCACAAAATCTAATTGAAAATTTTTAGTAATATTGAAAATTGATATTTTTCAAAATGTTGAAAATTAATTTCTCAGTACTTATTGAAAATTTTCAGAAATTCATTAAAACCTTTCAACAATAATTGAAAACAATTTTCAGATGTTTCTTAAAAACTTTCAGCAATATCAATTTATTTTAATATTTTCAGCAATTAGTTATTGATTTTTTTTTTCAAATTATTGAAAACTAATGTGTTAGTAGTTAGCGAAAATTTTCAATAACTTTTAGTTGAAATTAATTTCAGTAAAAATAAATTACGAAAAATTAATAATTAAAAATTATTGAAAGTTTACTTATAAATTTGAAAAGTATTGTATATTTTTCAATATAATTACTGAAAATTAATAACTAAAATTTTCTAATTCAGATATTTTTTAAAAAGTTTCTATTATGTCAATTTATTTTAATATTTTCAGTAATTACTTATTGATACTTTTATAGATATGAATTTGAAAATCTTTGTTGACATTTTTAAATATTCATTGAAAATTTTTAGTGGAAAATTATTTTCAGTAAAAATCAACGATTCAAATTTATTTGAGATATATTATTAATTATTCAAATGAGTAATTTACCTGAAACTAAACTATTCTATTTTAACTCTAAATTACTATTATTATTATTATTATTATTATTCGTTTTATTATTTACAGATAAAGTTTCACTAGTTTACTATAATTAATTTAATATATTTTTAAAATTTAATTATTGATTTCAGTAATTTAAATTTTATATTTTTATGAAATAATCAATCACTATTTATCAATGGTTAATTAATTATTTGGATAATTATAACTGTAAAATTAATTGTTAAAATTTTATTGAATAATTACTGATTGTGGTTCATTTATTTATTCAGTGATATCTCTTGATTGTGGTACTTAAAATATGGTGAATTTATCTCTTAATTTTGACTTATTTGTGCATTTTGTGGTTTATTTTGTTTAGTAATATTTAGTGTTTAAATTGTGGTGAATTGTTGTAATTTAGTGATATTTAGTGCTTAAATTGTGCTACATTTTGTAGGTAATTTACTAAAAAAGTTAGTAATCCTAGGACACAACCCAGTCTTCCTTAACCCAAGCCCAAACATGGGCCATAGACCACTCCACCTTACTCCAGCCTATGTATAGGCCACATAGGCTACTACCTAATCCACCCGAGCCAGGCCCAAACATAGGTCATACAATTTACATGAATTTGCCATGTTATTAACACTCTATACATCCTTTTGATCCTTTTTATCATCAACATGGTGTTTGGAAGCGTGGGCACTTTTGGGACCAATTTTCAAGAAAAAACGCCTATGCTTCCAGGACTTGTTTCTCACAAAAAATTGCTTCTGCCACATAGGCAATGAACAACACTATACCATTTGGTAAGGTGATTTTCATCACCGTTTTTCATGTATGTGCTGACAGGTAAGCACCACATAGGATACGCATCAGTCAATCGTTGGGAGAAACGGTTCACCTTCATGCATCCGTGGGGTCCCGATTTTCGAGGCATGTTCGATTTTTTAATAATCGGCTGAACCAAACAATAAGATACATGAGTGTTTGTTAAAATGCCTATGTGGATATGACATGGCACCGTTTCTTTAAAAAACGTCCACAGTTCCAAACATCCCCCAAATTGGATATTGCATTTGGATTTTCCTGTGCATTTCATGGGAAATTGTATATATATATATATATATTCCGAAATTATAGTTTTAATTTTTCTTCCAAGCATATGTAATGATGGTTTGATTAGGCTATCTAAGTATCTGCATATATTGTTTTGTTTAAATGAGCTAATTGAATTAATAGCCACATATTATTTTGGAAATGAAATGATTAAAACACCGTGGTATGTTTTAATACCGTTTGGTGGTATTTTCATCCATATAAAATCATGTCTTCTCCATTAAGGGCAAGTTTGGTATTTAAAAATTAGAGAATGGTATTAGCATTAAATGTTATAATTTTGACAAACATAACAGGAGGGATGTACTTGAAAATATATCTTGATATTTTGTTTTGAACAAAACAAATACCACTCAAAACCATTGAACCATAGAATAAAGGAAACAAGATTAATTTCATACATATTTTCATTGACRATACAAATACAATTTCTTTTATTTATGTTTTATAGGGAAAAAATATTAACAAGGTTTATTCAATTTCAGTTAATGGTAGATGGATCGTTGGACAGAGTAAAACACCAACAACCAACTCACCTTGTCGCGTGAAATTTCTCCCAGGGTTCAATAGCTCACATGGAATCACGATGGCATGGCATTAATCACAAAGGTAATTTAGTGGTTCAATATCATGATAATGATATTATATTTATGTGAACTGTGCGCTCTAACCCTGATTTTCACTGTTTTGTTTACTTCAGGATTGAGTTGTCTTCTCTGCTTTGAGTCCTCAACGGCTGAAAGTGCATAGCGGAAGCAGCACAGAGAGGGGCACGATATAACTGGTGGAAGAGTCCATTACATTGTTGAAGTAGTCAAAGAGAGGTGGCAAATAAGATCTATTCTCGTTTTCTTTAGTTTTAATTATATATTGCTTCTTCTCCTCGAATATCAAAATGGTGTCAGTTGTCTCGTCCTTCGTATTGGGGAAGGCCAAGGATGTTTTAATTGGCATTGCAGAAGACTGGGTGAAGGATAAGGTTAAGGACAAGGTGGGTTATCTTCTTGATTCCAAAGGTAAGATTGAGGAACTAAAAGTTGTGAGAGAGGAGATTCAAAAAGCAGTTAAAGAAGCTGAAAAGAAGGGAGAAGATGTTAAAGATGAAGTACAAAATCTTCTAATCGATATGGAGGGAATCATGGAAAATTGGAATAAGTTGCGTACAGAAAGCAATTATGAACCTTCTTCTTTGCACTCTATTTACACGCTAAGCAAGGAAGCCGTGGAAAAGATGAAATCCATTGATGAACTCCTACCAAAGAAGTTATATAGTGTATCTAATCCGGCTCCCCTTCCAACGATGGAATCCATTTACAAGGGAGATTTTAAGGTCTTTGAATCCACCAAGTTGACAATGGATAAAGTCATGGAGGCATTGAAAGATGAAAATATCCATGTTATTGGAGTGTATGGGATGGGAGGTGTGGGCAAAACTTCCCTGGCGAAGGAAGTAGGCAAACAAGTGGAGAAAGAAAAACTTTTTGACAAGGTCGTGATGGCTGTGGTGTCACAAGAACCAAACCATAAAGAAATGCAAGGTCAAATTGCAGACATGCTAGGCCTGAAATTTGAAGAAGAAAGTGTGATGGGAAGAGCGTTGAAGCTATCAAGAAGGTTGGAGAAAGTGGGGAGCATTCTTGTCATCTTGGATGATATTTGGGCTAAGTTGGAGCTGAAAGAATTGGGAATTCCATTCGATGGCAACAACATGGGCTGCAAAATCCTATTCACAACACGGCGTCAAGATGTTTGCCATGCAATGAAGACCCAAGCAGATATTCCTCTTAGCATCTTATCTGAAGATGATGCTTGGGATTTGTTTAGAAGGAATGCAGGTGATGTGGTTGAAAATGACGCTTTGATCAGAGATGTTGCCAAGGATGTGGCGAAGGAGTGCGGGGGTTTGCCCATAGCAATTGTAACAGTTGCGGGAGCACTACGGGATAAGAGAGATCGACAAGAATGGGATTATGCACGAAGGGAACTTCGATTGTCTGAATTTCAAAATATTGAGGATTTAGATCTAAAAGTGCGCTCGTGTTTGAAATGGAGTTATGATTATTTAAGGGATTTGGAAGCCCAACGGTTGTTCTTGCATTGCTGTCTTTTTCCTGAAGATTATGCTATATACATTGAAGACCTAATACTATACTCTTTTGGAGTGGGACTTTTGAAAAATGCTGAAACAATAGAAGATGCAAGATGCAGAACACGTAGAATTGTAAAGAAGCTTAAAGCATCTTCCTTGTTGTTACAAGGTTGGGATGAAGAGTCTATCAAAATGCACGATGTTGTTCGTGATGTGGCCATCCATATTGCATCTAATAAGGGTGAACATGATGAATTATTCCTGGTGAGAGGAGGTAATTTGGAGGAATGGCCAACAATGGAATCAACAGCAGATTACACAGCCATCTCATTGATATATCATCGAATAAGGAAGCTACCTAATTCATTGGAATTTTCAAAACTAAGGACTTTAGTGTTGCGTCGTGCTTATGTCCAAATGGAGATTCCAGACACCTTCTTTCAAGGGATGATGGCACTTAGATCTTTGGATATGAGTTTTAATTACGGGCTTCACATCCTACCATCTTCAATTCAGTGGCTGACAAATCTTCGAACATTAAATCTACAAGAATGCATTATCTTAGAAGACATATCTATGCTTGGAAATTTGAAGGGACTTGTTATACTCAACTTAAGTGGATGCGAATACATAGAAGGGTTGCCAGAAAATATGGCACAGTTGACCAATCTAAGGTCATTGAATTTGACAGGAGCTTCTGGGATTAAAATTATACCACCGAATGTGATATCATGCTGGTCCCAACTAGAAGAACTACTCATGGATAGTAGTTTTAAGGATTGGGAAATAGAAGGAATAAGTGGAGGAGGAGGACATGGATGTAAAGCTCGATTGGCAGAGTTGAATGCATTGCGTCGCTTAACCAGTCTACAAGTAGAAATAAAAGATCCAAGAAGTTTGCCAGATGATTTTGTTTTCCAAGATCTTGGAGTGTTTCACATAGATATAAATTTTCGAGATAGTTACGATTATCGTATTGAAAAGGTGTTACGTATCAAAGGCTTACGGACCCAAGAAAAGGAGTTATGTATCAAAGGCATACGGACCCAAAAAATCAAAACTGTATTTTCTAATCAATTGAAAAAAACAAAAGTCCTACGTCTACAAGATTGTGAGGGACTCAACTTGTGCGGATGCAGTGATATTGAAGATTTCCCATCACGTGCCCTTTTTTCCAACCTAAATATCCTTGACTTGAAAGAATGTAAGAGTTTGAGAAGTATTTTTTCACCTATCAATACTCGAAATCTACAACAGCTGGAGGACCTTCGGGTAGAAGGGTGTGATTCTTTGGAAGAAATTTTTGTGGAAGAGGAAGGCGGGGACAAGATCGTATTGCCCAAATTGAAGACCTTATTTCTCTCAAAATTACCATCCCTCACAAGTATCTGTGGAAACAGAAATCCATCTGATTGGCCCTCGTTGGAACTAGTGGATATATACTGTTGTCCCAATTTGAGAGGCATCTTTTCACGTGCCACAACTCAAAGTCTACTACAGCTCAAAAAGCTTGAAGTACATAACTGTGATTCTTTGGAAGAAATTTTTGTGAAAGAGGGTGAAGGTGAAGCAGTGGTGGACAAGATCGCATTGCCGCAGTTGAGGACTTTACATCTTAAACATTTACCATCCCTCACAAGTATCTATGGAAACAAAAATCCATCTGATTGGCCCTCGTTGGAACTAGTGTATATACACGAATGTCCAAGCTTGCTGCATTTCCCTTTTCAACGCCAAAGAAATGCTCCCAATCTAAAGACCATCACTATATCATCAGTCGAGTTGTCAAGGAAAAAATTACGGCAAAAGTATCAGGAATTGGAAGCGGAATTTGGAGAACTACTTCGACTGTAAGTTCTTCTTCATTGTTCCTTGAACTAGATTGAATTTCACTCTTCTGATCAGTTACCAGAATATATACTAATATGGTATCGATAGCATTATATTTTCCTCTTATTTATTTATTTTTTCAGTATATAACATCCAATAAATTTGTAATTTTGATGAGGGAATCTTTAATTCAAGTAAATGTTATTATAAAACTGAAACTTCTTTACATAACAAAAACTGCCTCGATCATGAACGTTGTAATTGATTTTATTTTCCAAAGCAAAATCATAAACGTTGTGAACGCCTCTGAAAATAAGTTATTCTGCTATTTCATTCTACATTTGCTATCAATATTTTATTTATATCTTTATGATGAATTACCATGGTTGGAAACTTCAATCTTTTCCTTTGCATTTGCATGCATTACCAAATTATATACTTCCTTTCATTACCTAAAACCTAGTTTACGGTTGCAATTTGTCTAGAAAATATTAATAAAAAATAACTTTTCTCAGTTAAACATATCATATAGTTGTAGCTTTGATTCTATCCATAAAAACCTTATTATATGACATTTGCAGATATAAATAATATCAAATATTAAGGTGTTCAGAAAGCCAACATCTATATTACTATATATGTTGGAAGATCCATGAATTTGTTAGTTTGTCCATATGAATTAATGTATTTTAATTAATATAAAATTATAATTCTATAACTTTAAACCTAACTTGCAAGGAGAGATTTCTTGAGAAAATTCCATAGACTTCCATAGATTTCATAGACCAGCTATAGAAATATATTATCTAATATTAAAAGAAAAAGTATACTTAATTTAATTGTTGATGTTTGAGAAATAGGGGTGCTTGTTAAATACTAAGACTCTTTACGCAGGAAAAAAGGAGGTGCTTGTCAACACCTAAACTATAATTTTTAGTAATTTTGGTAAATTGAAAAATTTAGTCACCAACAATTACCTGCTAAAAATTAGGAGTGCAGCTTGGGCTGGCCCGAATAGGCCCAGCCCGAAATTTTACACGGGCTAGGCTTGGATTTTCAGTCCTTTGGGCTGTGGGGTGGAATTGGATTACGGTTGCAATTGGATTCTCAATTGAAAGGCGTATAATTAATGAATAAACATTCAAGATGAGGTGAGTCATTTATTGAAAACAAAAGAGTGGGGTGGAATCACAATAAAAATCCTATTAGAGATGGCAATTTTGTGGAAAATTTTATATACCTGATCCATCCTAATTTAATAGGACTCTTTTATCAAAACTTTATAGGATTTGGGACGGGGTTGAGATTTTGGATTAAAACTTTATAGGGTTTAAGATAGACTTGGGTTTTGTCCTTAGAGTACCTGAACCCAATTAATAGAGATACCCAATAGGAAAAATGCTTTTTAAAAGTGAAATTGAAATGCTAAGACTATTTATGCAGGGTATCAGAAGAAGAAGAAGAAGAGGAGGAGGAGGATGTGAGAAGCAATTATAATGATGTTAATGATGTAAGGCAAAACAACGAGGTATTTCCTTGTCTAAAACTGTATTATTTTGCTTCTTAGTTTTTTCAAAATACCTTTAAATTTCAAATGATTGGCGGATGTTCTTATACATGTGGTCATGTATAAATCAACCATTCAATCTATTGGGCTTGCATTAGCAATAACTTTTGCCACATCAGAGAAAATAGCTTCAGTTTATGCATCTATTTGGACCATTATAACCAAATAGGAAATCTAGAGGACACAAAGTATGAATTACATTTTTACTTCTGAAAATCTGATATTTAAGAAATTTTTAACACCTCAAGACAAAACCCAGGGCCAGGGATTACCCAAAAGCAATACTTTCTCTGTAATGGCATTTAATATCATTTTTCATAGAAATGTTAAAACCCGCTGGTGTACGTGAGGCTGTGCTTGTTTGCACTGCAATTTTACTTGAACCAGTGCAAACGGATGGGAGTGCAAATGTAAAAAATGTAAATTCTTGTTTAATTTTATTTTGAATTTTACTTTATTCTGTTTGATGTATTAATTTAATTCATTTGTACTACAATCATACAAAATAATCTAAAATTTGAAGCAAAAATAAGTCAGAATTTACACTTAAATCGTCATTTGCACTGTTATGGTTTTGCATCAGTGCAAATTTAGTTGCATTGCAACCAAATACACCCTAAAATACAAATAGATTTTGCACTGAATGCAAGGTGTCAACTGGTTGGCTGGTAAGGTTTTTAGCTAGTTGGAGAGCGGATCTAGTCTCATACAACGGGTCACAACAGCCTTTGCAGCGGTGCATTCAGAACATCTCCCTTATCCTCCATGGTGAGATGTTCCCGATGTACAACTATAATTTATAACTACTGCGGCTGATTGTTGGGACCCTGTTTTGGGACCTGATCCAAATCTGGTCAATTGTAATGGAACTTGGGAGTCGAATCCCGCCTGCACGAGGGCTGGGGGGTTTTGGGTTTATTAGTTTGTAGTTGCACTCTCCCCAAACTAGGCCTTAATCTCACAACAAGAGGAATGCAGCACATACTCAAAAGAAATTAACAGTCTTATTGCATATGCTGATCAAATTACTTGACCTAACAGGTAGAAATTGATCTTAACTCCATTGACTTCTTTGCGATGTCGTCTATGGAGTCATTGCAGCAGCTGGATGAATTGAGGCAATCTGATGAGCCTTTACTTGAGTTGAAACTCTTCGAGCCTCCTAGCAAGAAGCAAAAACTCCATCCATCATCATCTACAGCCTCGACTTCCAACTCACATAGAAATTAACCTGAACTGGTGGGGAACTTGATCGAATGTTAAACTTATCGTGATATATTGGAATGCTTATTGAACCTTATCCTAGAGCAAGATTATTGTGTGATGCAGATTGACTTGAGTCTCTAATTAAATTTTCATAGTAATAAGGGTCACGTAATTGGCCAAACCAACTTTTCCATTAAATTTCTTTATTAATAGTATGACACAATGGAGAGTCGTGTTGATTTTGTTAGTTGTATTTATTCTAAGTACTGTTTTAATACTCTGAGTATTAGTTTGCAAACTGTCATTATTACCATCAGACAACTTGATCAAATCTTTGATATACATATGAATATGTCTGTGCATGGAAATGTTGCCTTATAAGGTAGATGGTGTTAATGTTTTCTCAAAAAGCTTTAGGGGGTATTCTACAAATAGTTTGTTTCGATTTTGAAACAAAAACAACTGCTACATCAGCACTAATAATTTTTACTGAGCTAATCAAAACCAACCATGTTATCCAGCACCTTCCTTAGTGTGTCAATTACCATTTAGTGATCTTTTTTACTTTTCTTTTCCTTTTCGTTATTAGTCCTCAGGCTAAGGAGGAGAGGACCAATATATTGTATAGTGCATGAAGTGGCAAGTCTTGCTAATCTGTGAGCCACAGAATTTCAACTTCTTGGACTCACACAACTGTTGAAAAGGGAAACAAGTCTCTGGCAGTCTCAAATGCACCAAGGTGATATAAAAGTATCCACCAACAGGCCAATTGCAATCTTTTTTGCATCACCTTTAGGGGACGTTCTTTTTGTGGATTTTGAGAGGGGGGAAAGTTGGTCAATGGGATTTTGGTTCCCATTGACTAAGAAGCACATGTTCTTTTTCTAAATTTATGTGAGGAGCAGGGAAATTTTATTTTCCTGGTATCATTTACCAAAATCAAGTAAATGATATCCATCTCTTACGTGGGTAAATAACTTTCCCACTTTGGAGGAAAGTTGCCAACACTTAAATGGGACAAAAACGTCCCTTTTAAGAATGGAATTTTATGTCTAAAACTATCATTGCCTTATTTACCTGGGAAATAAAAGAACATGGGTAAATGCACTACTCAGGTAAGTGATTCCAAGTAATTTACCAAAAAGCAAGCATGGCATTACAATGAAGTGTGATAAATCTCAATCTATAGACATTCATAAACCCTAGGCCCCATTCGCTTTTCGATAAGTTATTTACCCGAGTAAATGCACTTACCCGGGTAAGTGTTTCCCAAGAAACACATACCTAGGTAAGTGCATTTATCCATGTTCTTTAATTTTTCATGTAAATAAGACAATGACCATTTTAACCATAAAAATCCATTATTAAAAAGGGCATTTTTGTTCCATTCAAATGATACCTAGGAAAGTAAAGTTTCCCTGGTCCCCACATAAATCCCATTAACTAACTTTCCCCCTCTCAAAATCCAAAAAAAGAATGCCCCCCTAAAGGAAAGCTCTAGCTTTGGCCATTTCAGCAAGGCACACCTCAAAGGGGATGGCTTGAGCAAATGAAAAACTACCATGTTCATCTATGAAGGGCAATGGGGTGAATTCAAAGACAGTTATTATAAATTCTAAACCCTCTCCCACCTCCTCAAACCTCCTCCTATACACTCCTTATAACCTGTAAGGGGTTGGATTTTTAGAGCCCAAATCCCCTAACACATGAAAATGCAAAATCCTCTTCAATCCCACCCTTAAGCATTCGAAGGTGGTGTTGGTTGGGTCAAAAACTTGCAACTAATTTTCTATTATATACAAGTAATAAATCTATATTACTTATAAAAGTAGGAATAATAAGGTATTGGCTTCTGGATTTTTTTTACTAAAATACCCCTCATCTTAAATTTAATTTATCTACATTGAAAGGGCAGAAAATGTAAATAAAAGAATACCATTAATTACATTCAATTACCTCTCATTAAGTCTCACATTTAAGTCATTAAATAAATCACATTTTCTCTCATTGAATCCAACATTTATACTTTTGTTTATCATCATTAAATTCCACTAAAATATCCATACACAATAATTATTAATAGAATAAAATTTTATATTTTAAAATAAACATAGAAATAAAATCATATTTTTCATCTAGGTGGTGGGTAAGTAGTTCAACCATTTGGGTCAAATGGATAATTTCATAATGTCATAAATAAATAATACAAATTTAGAAATATAAAAAAATATTTTTGTTTATCATCATTAAGTTCTACTAATAAATCCATACACAATTATTAATTGAATGAAATTTTATATTTTAAAATAAACCTAGAAAAGAAATCACATTTTCCATCTAGGTCGTGGATAAGTATTTCAACCATTTGGGTCAAATGGATAATTTCATAATGTCATAAATAAATAATACAAATTCAAAAATATAAAAATACAAGAAATATAGTAAAAAATAAATTTTGATAAAAAATGGACATGTTTCTATTATTATATATTTTTCATATTAAAAATAACTATGATAAAGTAGACATAATTTTATTAATAGTGGAATCAAATATACAACTTAAAATGATTGGAAATTAAACCATCTTCCTATCTAGCGGGTGGGTTAGTATTTCAACCTTTCTAGTCAAATAGGTTAACTCATGATGTATAATTAAAAATAAATTTTTTAAAATAGAATAGTACAAAAAATATGAAACAATTTTGGACACATCTATAATATTATATACTAATAATATAAACAAAAGTAAGTATGATAAATAATAATTACTTTATCAATGATATAAATGAAGTGCAAATTTTAAAATCAGTTTGAAAATGAAATCATTTCCTTACCTAGATGGTAGGTTGGTCAATGATCTAACATTCCAGGTCAAATAGGTCAATCTATGATGCCATTACTAAGTAACGAATATTAAATACATACATACATACATACATACATACATACATACATACATACATACATACATAAATGACTCAAAGAAAAATATAACCTTTGTATAAAGCATTTTGATACAATTCTATTGTTATATATTCACCATATTAAACAAAAATAAATCTAAACATAACAATTACTTTTGTCGATGATGAAAATGGAATACATGATTTAAACTATCCATCTCAAAGGGATGTTATTATTAAATAATAAAATACATAAATTTCTAGAAAATGTAGAAATTTGTCAATAATTTTGAGTACATTCTATAATATTATATATTCATCATATAAAAAAGTGTGATTAATGAGAATTATCTTCGGGATAAAAATTAGGATAAAAAATAAAGAACATTAGTGTCTAGCACATGACCTGACTAACCATGTCAAATGATTAAATAATTTAATTAGTTAGGTCATCGTAGGTAAGTGGTTTGGTAGGGATGCAAACAAATCAAGTCATTTGAATTAGGGTATATTCAAATCTGATTCGATCCAAAGATTTGACCAGATCTCAAAAATATTGATTCGAATTCGAATTCGAATCCGAATCCGATTAAGATGTCGGATATTCATATCTAATATGATCCAATTTATTTAAAAAAAAGCAATAAATAATTAAAAGAAAAATAAAAATATAATAGTTGAAATAAAAAACAAAAAATATAAGTATTTTTTTTAACTATTTCCATCATATAAAAAGTTTACAAAAATGAAATATAAATAACATATTTATAAATAAAAAATAAAAAACATATATGTTATATATAAATAATATATATACTATATTACATATAAATAATTGATTTGATCACAATATTAAAAACTAATGTTCAAACAATATATTGGAATTGCAATTCCTCTTGGTAAATAAGTAATTTTTATTATCTCATAAATTAAATAATAAAAAATTATAATATAAAACTTTTATAAATTTTATAAGAAAATTTGAACATACATTCATATTATATTCTTCATATTAAACAAAAATATGTTTGAAAAAATGAGAATTATTGTTAGAAAGATAGAAATGGCTAAAATACAAAGAAAAAAAAGAATTAATGTCTTAATCCTAGTCCATTTTCCTGGTTAAATAGGTTAATGTGGTTCAACCAATAAGGCCATTTGGTTGCTAACTATTATCATCATCATCATTACACTTTTACTAGTAGAGTAAAATACATAAACCTCCCTTGAGTTTTAACATAAATATTTATACCTCCCCTCAGATTTATTATAGTACTTAGGCCAAGTTTGGGAATGCTTAAAAATAAGTGCTTATTCAAATAAACATTTATTTTAAAAATATGTTTTTATTTAAGAAGCCCAAAATTCTAGCTTTTTTCTAAGTGTTTATACATTAAGCACTTGTTTGAAATTTTGGTTCCAAAATACTCCCTACTTAGATTTCAAAACACCACTTATGTCCTTCCGTCAACCAAAAACATAGGGTTTGGCTCTTCAACTCCATAGTCTTCTCCAACCAACGATGGAACTGCAACTCAATCGATCAACTAGGTAAGGCATCCTCTTTTTTTTCTCATCCTCAAATTAATGAATAAAAGTCCCACACGCTGGCATTTTCCAACATAAAAAACATATTTGTTTAACAATTATTACATTCATAAAATCAAAATGACAGCACTCACTACAAGAAAATGGGGATATAGCTACTATACTTTAGCTACAGTCATAAAAACCGTAGCTAAAACATGTTTGTCCATGCATACTTACAGCCATAGTTTTAAGGGATTGGTGGCTATAAGTTAACTTATAGCTACGGTCATTTAGTTCGTAGCTAAAGAGCATTTTCTTTGTGGGTAAAAGTTATTTACAACTATAGCAATGGTTTTTAGTTATTTGGGGCTATAACTATTATGTTTATCTTTAGCTACAGTCATTTTATCCATGGCTATGCAACATTTTATCCGTAACTAAAGTTATGTATGGCTATAGCCACGGGTTTTAGTTATTTGTATCTGTAAATTTATTTGAAAATATTATAATGTAATTATAAAATAATAAATATATTAAAAATTAATTAATTTAAAAATATTTAATAGAAAATAATAAACTAGTAAGTATTTATTAAAATGATTAAAATTTAATATAATGCATGGAAATTTCATAAATAATAATAATATAATATTAATTAAAAATAATTATTATTTATTAATTACCATTAAAAGTAAATTAATCACTAAGAAATTATTAAAATAAATAAAAATGATTAATAATTAACAATTAACAATTAACAAATTATTAGTTCTTTACTAATGAAGAATAATAATAATAAATTAATGATTGGTATTTAATAATACTTAAACTAGCAAATAAATTATTACTAATTTCATAAGTACATTGCTAAAAGATACTAATTTCTAAAATATAAATG